CTTTTTTTTTTTTTTTTTTTTTTTTGTACCAGGGAGTGAACTTGGGTCCTTGCCCTTGCAAGACAGGCGGCGGAACCACTGAGCTAAATCTCTGACCCTGTCCGTTCACTTTTGATTTTCTTTTTTAAATTCATGCTCAAAGCAACAAGTAAAGCCCCAGCAGGACAAGCGATATTTCCTCTCATGTCTGTCTTTGTCAAAGGACATTTCTGGAATGTTATAATAAGGCAGCAGAGACCAAAATCCATGCCTGTGGCTTCTAAGGCTTTCTCTGAATCACTATGTGTATCAGTGTGTAGTACAAGAGCACTACACACACACTCAGACACACTTCAGTCTTTATCTCAGCTCTGTGCCCCAGTGTGTGAAGATCATAGGTTAGATATCAAGCATCTCCAAGTCTCGTTGTCCAGATCTGTAAAAGGAGAGGGTAACTTTTGTGATTCTCTCAGGGTCTAAGTTTGTCTTTGTGTTGTCGCTGTTTAGAAACCTTAACCTCTGGCCTACCGCATGTGAGATAGCACTATCAGAGCTCTACACCCATTTAACCTTCTCACAAACCTTGTGAGGAAACTGAGGCCTACAGCAGACAAGTCATGTGCCCAAGGTCAGGTACTAAATGGCAGAGCCAGGAGCTAAATCCTGCAGGTGAACTTCAGAGCTGTGACTCCCAACCCCGTGTTGCCTTGCTGAGTCGCAGGGGACAGGCACTATTCTAGGCTCTATAGGGACATACAAATGGATACAACGAGTCTTAGCTGTGAAATAGCTGATGAGTTTGAAGAATAAAATAACCAGAGACTATTTCTCCTGAAAAACACAGGCTACGTGAAGCCTAGCGTATCAACCAGATACAAGCCCATGTGGCAGAGTGGCTGTGACCGTCGCAATGCAGAAGGTCCTGGCCACCTTTGCACCCCCATAGGCAGGCATTGTAATCAAGGGTCCAGGGGCTGGGCCCTGAAATCCCTAGAAGCCTTTTTTGCTGTTTCTACCCCTGCCACAGCTAACCACTGGATCCAGGTCCATATGAGTTCCACAGAGGCACCAACAAAGGAACTGAAGGTGAAATGAGGTCAGGAAGGGATCTTTGGCTCAGAGCAGCCACATTTTAAGTAAGCAATGACAGCAACAATGCCCTTGTTTGCGAAAGCATGATAGGTGCTAAGAAGCAACCTTACCCAGCTTTATCATATATGGGTTAGATTTTAATATGAGCAGAAAATAATTCTAAATATTCTTGCAGTTGACTACTAACAAGTTGCAGTGTACTGTGGTCATTGGAGTTTTCTAAGAAATTAGAAGAATGGACGAATATGTTTTCTTTCCAATACGTTTAGCCAGCATAGTGAGGGAATAAGTTTCTAATCATGTAAGTTTAGGGATAATTGAAGATTAATATTACAAGTAGCACTGTTTTTGTTTCAACCATTTCCATAGAAACCTTTAGACAATGTGTTTGTGTACATCATTGCCCTGCTTTAGTAAAATGGATTTGCTGAACCCTTTCTTAGTGAATCGGGGTGTACTTCATGGTCAGTCACTGAGTGAAAGTAGTCACAGTAGTTATCTAACTAGATCCCCTGTCTTTGTTATCTTTGTCTCCAACTTATCTGTCCAGTTGTAGGGCTGGGGATTTGGCTCAGTGGTTCCACTGCCTGCCTCGAAAGCACAAGGAGCCGAGTTTAATCCCCAGGAACCCCCCCCCCAATCTGTCCAATTGTTTTTTTGCTTTTTCTTTTCTTTTTTTTCAAAGGTTAGGTTGTATTATTTCTGTCCTTTTCTTGGTGCAGAGGATCTAACTCAGGATATTGTGCTTGTGAGGCAGGTGGCAGAACCACTGAGCTAAATCCCTTCACTATTTTCTTAAAACAAAGGTTGGGCCATGTTTTTCCTTTCCTCAAGAATCATCAGTGACTCCCTACAGGATAAAATTGAGGTTCTATATCCACATATTTAAATGCCTCCACCCATGTGTCCTCATTGACTTCTCTTGCTGACAGCTTGTTACTATAACTGTACACTTCTGGTAACTCTCTGCTCCTGTCCTGCTGTTCTCCAACCCATCACCCTTCATCCTGGGAAATCCCTGTCCTTCCTCCTCCAGAAAGTCTTTCCCAGAAGCTCCTGTTGCGATCATTCACCTTTTCTCTAGGCCTTCTTATGTGCTGTGGGCACTGTGATGTCATATGTACTTCGTTCTATAGTACTATGATTGAGTAGTATTTGTGTGTCTGGAGTGCAAAGCAAGGCCTATTTATCTTTGTATTCGGATGGTATTTTGCATTTGTATTCCATGAACTAATAAAAGTAGGAAGCAATAAATGAGATGAATAAAAATTGGGATAATAATCGTGGATTCCGTTCATTAAACAATTCCTGTGTGCTGCATGCTAGACCAAGTGTTGTAAAAGTATGTCCTTACAGTCCACTATGTATATGCTGTTACTCTCTCTAAGAGTGGTTGAAACCCTGCCACAAGCCACACGGCTGGTAAGTATGGGGGGTGGGAAGTCAGGGTAGTAGTGTTGGCTCCTACAACTGAAATCTCATGTAAGCCATGTAGCCCTCCACTGAACATGCAGATAAAACCTAAGAGAAGTGAGAATGGCCCCGTCCAGATATCTTGGTACATAGAGGCAAGAAAAAATAAAAAGCCACGTGATAGAGGTTATCTGATAGCACTGCACCACCCTCAGCTTTACTCATCCTCTGGTCTACGGGCAGCCTGCAGCATCATACCCATAAAGTCTTGATTTTGTAGGCAATCACCTGGACTGAAAAGTGTGACAGTCCAGTGTACTGACCCAAAGTTGTGGCTGCTTCTCCAGTAATGTCAGGGAGCTTTCCAACGTGTGCAGGTGGAGATTTTAGAACAGGACGTCTGGATTCAAATTCTGGCTCTGCCCCTTTTAGCTCCTTGGCCTGGGACCAATGATTTAGTGTCACCCAAGGCTCACTTTCCTTAGCAGTAGAGCAAAGATAGAAAATAGTGTCTGCTTTATGATTCAGTAAGAACACATAATACATACGAGGTGCCTAAAAATCCTGGCAAACAACAAAAAATTTTAACTTTATTGTCGTCTTAGTCATTTCAAATGTTTTAAGAAGCTCTCAGGTTACCACCAATACTGATTCATCCCAATAGCAATTACCCAGTATGACTACCACAAACAAATGAATCCAAGAAAGCTCTAATGTAATGGGTAAAATCTGGGAAGAGGTAAATTCCAATTTACTTTGGGTCAGATTGTTTCTTTAGTGTCTGTCCTTGCATGGCCCTACAGGGAAGTTAAGATCCTGGTCAGGCCTCCTTGTCGGATAAAGCTTTTCTTGTTGTGTTGTTTTCCCAGCAGAGGCTCATGCTCCGTGTGTCACAGTCCCATGGCACACAATAGAGGGGCTCCTCCCACTGCCTGACACAGGTAGAGCCTTCCCTCATCTATGGGCACAACACCAGGCATAGAAGAAACATGAGAAAGGCCACAGATGTTGCAGACCAAGACACACAGGAGGTTGAGCTTGGCCAGTGGGGTCCAACTGCCCAACTGAAACCTCTGATTCCACCATTTGCTAGCAGTATGATCCTAGCCAGATTACCTAAGCTCTGCACTCAGTTTCTCCATCATCAGTACAGTGTCATAGGATTTTTAGAGAATGATGGAACATTTTTCAAGTGTTTAGAAGAGTGTCCGACATAAGAGTACGGGCTCTGTGAATGTTAGTTATTACAATTAATTTGCATTCCTCAGAAATGTAATTTCAAAATAACCAAATTTTCAATTTTCAAAATAAACCAAAGAATAAGTTATTTTTCGAGATCAGAAATCAGAGGCTCAAGAAAGTTGCAAATCTGTTTTAAATTCAGGCACTGCTTACAGGGCAAAGCCAGGATTCTAATACACCTAAAGTTCCCCAAAGTCCAAGGCCTTCACACCAAACTTTCCTGCACAATGGGGATAAAAGACGTAGAGACCAGAAGCGCAGTCACATGTTAGACTGAACACAATCCAGGGCAGGGTAGAATCTCCCGATCAATACGCCCACACCTGGGATCAGTGCTCCTTGCCAGCTCTATGTTCTGGGGGCTGTGTCCTGGAGGTGGGGCTGAGAGGGCCCTTTACCATGCAGACTTGGGGGAGGGTATCCTCCTCCACCAGCAAAAACAAAGACCTAGGTATTGGTCCCAGAGCGGGGCTGAGCCAGTGACAAGAACAGCCTCCAGAGGAGGCTGACACGCACGACTGCACAAGCTCCACTGGCTGGGCGGGAGCTGTGCTCAGTGATAATGTGGAGCTAACTGTGCTGTCCCGAGGAGGTTCCAGCCATCATGGGTCCATAGGCTCCAGCAACAAGCTAGTGACGAGGAGCGGAGGGGGGTGGCATTTGAAGAGATGAAGGCTGAACCGACTGGAGGATTTAAGAATGAGAGACAGTGGCAGGTAGGACAGTAAAGGACACTGTGGTGACAGCTTGAGCACAGTAGTGAAGGCACGGTGTGAACCTAGCCTCTTTCTCTCTCTCTCTCTCTGTGCTGGGTCACCAAGTGAGCCCTAGACACAGATGCTGTTTGTGTCTCAGCTGCAGGTGGCCTCGACCCTGTTCTGGTTGGCTGGGCCCTATCCTTTTCTTCCCTTATAGAGCTGGGGGTGGCATCCGGGAAGCCAGTGGGAAGACCACAGCAGTACAAGTAAGGAAGGAAAGAATAAAGGTAAGCCAGCTGGGCTGCG